TATTACTTTTGTAAAGTTTTACTCCCACTACCAAGGCTTGCCTTGTTGGGTAGTATGTATTTATTTACCATTGAATGTCTTCTTTTATTGTACCTTTTCTTTTAATGTAATGTAAATAAATATTATTATGATTATTATTATTATTCGTATTCAAGGCTCAGTATTTTGCATATAGTGACAATCACATAAAAAGTAGGTATACCTAAGCTATCGCGGACTTTTATTTGGAACTACTTAAGATAAACAATCTTACGGTACATTATCTGCATGTAACGCCAAGATAGCTCTCAAGGAACAAGAATTTTTCCGACTTACTTATTACTTATCGTTATATTATGACAGAAATTACACAAAACTTTCGTAAATTGTAGCCCACATATTTTTCTGATGTATAAGCTGTATTTATGTAAGGTTTCATCTAAATCCGTTCAGTCGTTTAGGCGAGAAAGAGTCACAAACATACATACATACGTCCTCGAAAACTTTCACATGCATATTAGTAGGTATAGATAGATTATTACTTACCATTCACACCATTTTGACATTGAATATTGCATTTTTTTCCAAAATAGTGCGATGTAACAGAATATATTCATTCGGTTGGCAACAGTGAAACGAATGAAGAGACGGATTTCATTTGCATTATTCAATTCGGCTGTCAGCCTTCCTTTTGTATATTCAATATACGTAGATTTGTAGATTTGGATCAGTATTTGTCAAAGTGGGCGATAACGCTGCCTTGTGGGCGCTGGAGGCCTATAGTGGGTTAGTAAAGGGCATAGAGAAGATTGGGGGGGGGGGCGTTGAAACGGTTTAGGCGGGCGATGGCTAATTGAAAAATGTTTTTTTGCTTTCAAGACAAACATTACCGCTTAACGCGCGTTTCCTCGTGTATCGCCATCTAGAGGAGTAGACCGTAACTATTTCCTGTCCCATAGTTGTCAAACGGTACAATAGATGGCGTTAAGCTTCAATACGAAGCGAGAAGTTTCTAGTCTCCATTCTCGAAAGTACTAGGCCCGCCGCTGCCTCATATAAAAGCGGGCGCGCCATCCAGCCAGTAATGTCGTTCGACGACATTATGAAAACAAGTGAATTTAGTTCGCGACTAGCTAGGTAAAGTGCTGTATGTGCGGTGGTGAATACTGTGAGTGGTGGCATTAGCAGGTTTTTAATACTTGATTCTTTACTCCGGCATTTTTGAAGACAACATTGTGTTGGAAGCAAGAGAGAAGAAACGGCAGTATAGCGTGGAATATATAAATCATCTGTAGAATTATTCAATGATGTCAATCTCCAACTTCAAGATGACGACATGTATTTGAATAAAACAAAAAATATCATTGCTGCTTTTGAAACCAAATTGCTCTCTTACAAGAATAATATTGGCAGACGTGAGTTTCGCAATTTCCCTAATTTGTCAGCAGTATCCTTCAACAACGACGACTTGCTTGTTCACTGCCAACATTTGGAGAACCTCCACAGTGATTTCGCAGAACGATTCCAGGACATTTTAAAATTGGAAACACCGAACTGGGTGTTGGATCCTTTTTAAAATGTGAACACAGCAGGATCACCCCAGCTGGAAGAAGAACTCATCGAACTGATAACGAACGAGGAAATAAAAATTAAATTCAGAAATGGATACCAAGAATTTTGGCTACAAAAACAATCCCACAATTTTACCCTGGATTGTGGTCCATCGTTCAATGATTTCTGATACCATTCTCATCATCGTATTTGTGTGAACGTGGATTTAGTGTCATGATAACGTTGCTAACTAAAAAGACAAATCGATTGCAGATTACCGAACGCGGTGACTTGAGGCTGTTTTTGAGTAAATTCCAGCCTGATATTAACAAACTTGTCAAAAATCATCAAATTCATCCTTCACATTAGATTAGTTTTAAAATTCAAATTGAAATGTTTGTTTTAATGAATGAAATAGAAAATGATTAATTCTCGAAGTGGGCGGTAGACAAAATAAGTTTGAGGACCTCTGATTTAGATGAATTATATGATGCTCATAGGGATTGTTTGAATGTTTTATGTTATCAGACACCATAATAATAGCTATGAAAGGACTCATCAAAGGTCATTCGGGTAATATCCCACTGGTGGGGTGGTTGACTGCATCTGCTGAAATATGGGAAGTACAAGCCAAGGGAAAATAATTGGTAATATAGAATTTTCATGGAGATGGAATACGTGAATGCAGAATGCATAACGAAATTCTTCGTTTGATATTTCACATGAAAACTACGAAATTGATTTACACAATTAATGAATAAAGGGCTCTTCAGGTAGGAAACTAATAATTTGATTCACCTGTTGAAAAATCATTACAAATTCCACCTATATTGTGAAAAAGGTCTTGACAATTCTCTGGAATCATGTCGTGCAACTTCGAAAAAAGGCTTTCGTCTATTATTATTATTGATAAACCTCTTTACAGAAACAGCAAAATACACTGTAAAATTTTTATTCAATATCTTCATGGGCAGACATCAAAGGTTCCTCAATTTGAATTTTAGTTTTTCGTCGAAGTAATCAAAGTGAAAAGGATATGTTTTTAATATTTGGAGAATAAATATCTAAGTGATGTTGAGTTGTATTGTCAGAGATATCCCAATCGACAACCACCACCACATCAGTATTTTCCGCATATTGAGAATCGTTGTAGAAAAGGAAATCGAGACAAGAAACAGAAGTTTATATAAATGAAGTTACTGTAAATAACGTTTCTGCTGTGCATGACACCACATTCCAAACCTGCTATCTACTTACGACCTCGATTTCATTCCAAACGCTGGCTGAACCCTACGAGATAGATGAAAAATAGCCTACAAAAAAGTCCGGGATGGTATATGTCTGTCTCTTAGGAATAACCCACAATAACCATTTTTTATCCTCGAGAAATAATAGCTTATTTAGGAAGCGATTACAAGCAATACAGCATTGATCCTTATCCAATTGAGTTAAATACATTGAGTAGTTGATATAGATCAATATGGCTCTCCACAGAATATAATTTTAATGAATATTTTCGAAGACTTTGAAAATTTTAAATGCAGGGACATAGCGATTGCGGAGGTACCGGCAGGGGGGTGGCGTCGGCCGCACTTCGCCCTATAGAACTTCATGATTAGCAGTGATAGCACGCGTTTATATTGAACATGCGGCAAAAATGTAAGGAACTATTCCTTGAACTATTCTAAGGATATTTTGTTTTTTGATGATTTTCGATAGGGTGCTTTATTTCCAAGATACAGGGCGAAAAATAATTCCGACAATAACAATTTTGGTAATTTTGAAATTATTAACGTAGCCGAAATAAAAGTATAGTGTACTACACTGGACCTACCAAGTAATGAAAAATACTGAGCCAAAAATTCCAAATGAAAAATTGGTTTGAAAAATGATCAGTTCCAGCACACTTCAAAAGCGTAATAAATATGACAATTTCAGGTTCATGTGGTTTGCTTGTGTCGCCGTTGGAACAATAGCCACTACCGTTATTATTTTCAATCTCTGGGAGAAATTTCAAACGAACCCTACTATCACTGGTCTCGATACAGATTTCCACAACTGGGATGTTTCTTTTCCTGGAATTACGGTGTGCCAGGTGATACCAACGAGCAATGAAAAAATTGAGGAATATATACAGGAACATTATCAAAGGTAAGTAAAGTACTGGTTTATTCTACATAAAAGTTTTTCCGAAAACCTCCTGAAAGGATACCAAAATCTATAATTATTATTTTTTGTTCGTGACATCGGCTGCTAAAGTCGTTAGCCATAATTATAAACTTGAAGTTCGTGAGGGTACAGTACAGCTCAACTATATTCTGTTATAAACTCCAATTTTCGAACGAAACTTATGATTGATCTTAGTTCTGTCTTGTGGTAACCTGAACATCTCTTAAATTCATTCAAACCAATTCTATTTTATATCTAGATATGTTCAGGGCAGGCGATTAAAATGTGTCTGACAGTTAACATCCTCCTGCAGTGGACACATCTTAGCTGCCTTCTGCTACTAAGCATGAACGTATTTGTGAGATTGGTATGACCATTCCTTAATTGTGTAATAACTGTCTGATCTTTTCTTGTTTGGACAGGTGGATAATAACAGTGAGGGATTGACAGTTTTTAATTTTGAGTCTGATGTCTACCATTCATTTCGTCACATTTGAAAAGACAGATTTTTCAGATACATTTTGATGTCCTAGCATCTGACTGGAACATTCTCAGTTACGCCTGTTTGGGCAGTTACTTCTGCGACTTGATCTGCCAATTCATTTTCCGGATTTCACAGTGACTGGAAACACACATGAATTCATTCAGTTTGGATTGGTTTTGATTCAATCTTCTGCCGATATTTGAACTGATCGGCCTTACAAAATCTCTCACTCATAGTTTGTGAAGCACTCAACGAATCCAAACGAATTAGAAACATATTATTTTTCTGGAATTCGCAATAGATAGCTTGGAAAATGGCATATAGCTTAGCCGTGAATATGCTAGCTTCACAAGGAAGCGTCCAAACTACTCGTATATCACTGCTTACGAGTGCAGATCCAAGTTACTCTTTTATTCGGATGTTGGCTGGACGAGTTACAGAGGGTCACCTTTCATATACACTATATTCTTCACGAGGTAATTGTGGTGGTTAGGTTGGGCATCTATTCCAACTGCACAACTTGAACACTTTAAAAATCACTCAAAGAAAGTATTTCTATTCACAACTATCAATTTAAATTTTGAAATAAACAACATAAAATGATTTACTACCAAAAACACAATTGCAACCCTTGTCGCATCGGTTTGTCAGGTCGCTTGAGTTTGTCAGGTCGCTTGAGTTTTTTCTCGCGCGATAGTTTTAATTTTGCGGTATTAATTTGACTTGTGTTGTGTTAAAGACAACAATAGCTCTCCAATCAATATATTGCCTATAAGTGACCATTATTTTGAATATCAAAATAGGTATAGTGAGCTATCCTTAAAAGATTAACATATGCCATCGCGGATTGGTTTCAGATCTGGAAAAGGGGTAAAATTGTAGTGAATTGTTTTGTTGCTACCCTGCGAAAACTCGCAGGGTAGCAACATCGCCCCGACTTCTCATGGATAGCATCGTCATATTTCAATCAACCTATGCTAAAAATTAAACCTTTCTTTCGAATCACCCCATCCATTGATGAAAACCGTATGGAAATGCGTTAGGTAGTATTTGAGTTTTGATATATAGATGGGATGGAAGACATGTATTGATTGATGTTCAATGGCGATGTATTTTTTCAACGACATTGCAGACGTAAAGCATTCAATTCATTTTCCAGCATTCTACGGCAGTTTGTACCAGAAGTTTTTCATATAATGCGACAAAGTTACACAATATCATTCCCCGTAATTTGAAAGGGTTTACATTGAAAAATTTTGAAGAGATACGAAATGGTATGCGATACACTTGCACCAGGAAAATGATATCCTGGAAAAATTCTCTAATAACGTCGTTAAGGATGGGAACTTTTGCAAAAGATATAAACATCAATTGTAGTTGAGTTTAAAAGCTAGCTGCACTTGCCTTATTTGTCATCTTTTTTCATTTTTATCGGTAGTTTGTCGTTTACGAACATGAACCCACTCAGTTGATTTCGATTGAAAGATGTGAAACAAAATAAAACATTCACTGAAAATAAAGGAATTTTGAATTGAATCAATAGGCAGAATGTGTCTTTTGAATCAAATCGTTCTTAGCAGATAAAGCAGACAAGTTTTTTGTGAATACTATTGCAAAATCTTGGACCCACTAAATGAGATTATTAGAGGCCATTTTTTCAATTAAAAAAGGGATTGAATAATGGATTCCATTCCAAATGTTGCTTTGCGGAGAATCATCCTACACACATTGAGGAGAAAATGTTTCGCCGAGACGATATGTACATTACTCAAACGATAGGATTCGAGGTCTCTGAATAGGATGAAGGGTTGCACATTATGACAAATAAATAAGGGAGTATATCAGCGCTGCTCGACTCATTGGAAGATTTGCGAAGAGAAATAATCGACATATTTCACGAAGTGACGCCGATGCCCCAAATATGGCCGTTTCTTTTATCATATGATAAAATTGCTATATTCTAAACCGTAACAGATACGAAGATGATTAAATGGGAAAAAAGGTAACTGTCATCGGAGACAATACAATGGTCGAAACAAATTTACGGGGACTCTCGCTCTTCTCGAGTTATACGGGGAAAACCTAAAATGCTGTTTTTCGTTTTTTCCGAACGAAATTGTTATTTCGGAGAAAATCAAAAATTGGAAAAGGAAAATGTCATTGTACTATGTACTATGACGATGTATTGATAAATATTCGATAAAACGTTTCGTGTCAACATGACCACCATCAACATTTTTGTAAATATGAACCTGTCTTTTTTATTACAGATATTGATGAAGCGATAAATTCACAATCCCAGAGTATATCACATTTGATATTTTTATAGTGTTTCGTTTGAAATAACCACCGTCAGCAGTGACAACAATCAAACAGAAAAACAATTCATTTTATCATGAACTTTTGGGAAAATGAAACCGATGCGAAAAATCAAAGCTACTTGGCAATCTACATTAAATGCTCGAACTGACAACCTATTTGTTGAGGGCATATAAGTTGTCGTTCCAGACAATTTCTATTGCAATTTTCTAGCATAATAGGTGTAATACTGATACATGCATCTCTTATTTTTTGTTTGAGACGGTCGATATCTGTACTTTGTGTACTTTATTCTTTATGTATTCTTTCTGCATGTATTAATTGGTCCATTATTTCCAATCTATTTTCTTGGGAATATTGCATCTAAATATTCCCTTACTATCGCTCCCTTATGGAGAGGAGCGCCGTCCTGTTGAACATATTGTATTTCATAGCGGATATTCAGTGGAAATTCATCTAAGTAACCATCGAATTCATTGAATAGAAAATGAAGACAAGCGTAAGAAACCACTTGTAGAATTCAAATCACTGTTGAAGAAGCTAATGTGTAAGCGAAACATGTCGCGATATATTTTTCTAATAAAGTTTGTAGAGATCAAATTGTGAGTCGTAGTTTATAGTTTCATAAACTACATCAAGTAACGGCCAAATCAATCAGAAAAAAAAATAGTTGTTCGCTTCACAGAACAGATCAAATAATATATTTGGGGGTAACGTTTCAAAATAATCTTGAATTTGATAGTCATATTGATTACATTACTAAACTAGCTGAAGAATTATCTGGTTTCATAAAAAATAAACACAGATTTTGATAAAGTTGAGTGTATATATCTGATGTATTTGTACGAATCCATTTGGAATAATTCCACAGAATCCAAGATACATGTTATCAAAATTGTACAAAATATTTCTGTCAAATATTTGTATTAAAAAAAATACCACGAAAATCTTGAGTTATCGTCAAATAATCCTATAAGAAAAGAATAGGATATGATGTAACTGGAACAGATGGGACAGAGTAATCTAATCCCTTTGCTGCTTAGGTTAGGTTAGGTCCAAAGTGAGTGGGTCTATTTGACCCTCCACACCCCCCTTTGCTGCTTACTTTCTGTCGTGACTGGACAAAATGTGATCGTTATATGAAAATACTCTCTAATGACATTTCTCCAAATTAAAAATACAATAATAATCACTATAGTGATTTTTACCTCCAAGTGTTGGCGATATATACACTATATGAAATGATGTTATTTATATCAGATAGGTTATTGATTATTTCCAAAACGTTTTCCATTAATTTTGTCAGGAATTTATTTGATTAATTTTTTCAGTTGACTTACAGATGTGAAGAGGTATTCGACTCATGCTTTTGGAAATCCTATCCGTATAACTGTTGTGATGGCTTCTTTCCTGTTTTCACAGAAAATGGTTTCTGCTACACATTCAATTCTCGACACTATGAAAAAAGAATTCCAGGGTAAGAACTCACTACATATATGACTGGGAGACCAGATGAATAAAACTCATCAGAATTTAGTATTTTCGAATATTTCAAAAGGAATATAAAAGTGCATACAATCAGTCATATAGATGGCAATCAAAAATCAATCATATAATTATTGGAAAATGTGTATGAGTGAATGAGTACAATAATTATGTACTTTTACGAATGAAACAGGGCACGATCTAGCTATTTAGTTGCTCCGGGCGTCTTTCACCCTACCACCATATGAGTCACGAGTTTGATAAACATCGACGCTTTTTCTAAATCCACCCCAATATATATTCAGTTTAGAATGCATTTTCGAACGTATTTTGAACAAATTCCCAAATTCCTTCAAATTGACCAAAATAAAACTTGTTATTTATTCATTTACAAAAGGTATATTAGGAGTCATTATGAATTAAGTGTTTCAAATTCGGATCGGTAACACCGAAAACTCCTACGTTAGGAATAATTATCAAAGCACTGAAAAACTAGGTAATTTAAAAAGAGTTGTAAATCATGTTTTTACAAATATCGATTTTCTGAAATTTACAAAAGAAGTAACGACAGGACCATAATTTAAAATTGTTGTCACTGATGATGGTGGTTATTTCAAATGAAACGTTATAAAAATATCGAATGTAACCCTTGATTTTGAATTTATTAGTTTATCAATATCTGTAATAAAAAAGACAGGTCCGTATTAAAAAAAGTTTATGGTGGCCACGTTGACACGAAACGTTTTATCGAATATTCATTATTACATCGTCATAGTACACTTCGAATACAATTTTTTTTTCCATTTTTTGATATTCTCTGAAATAACGAATCCATGCGAAATCAACGAGAAATTGCATTTTTGGTTTTCCCCATATAACTCGAAAAGGGCGAGAATCCCTGTGAATTTTCTTTCACCATTGTATTGTTCTCGATGGTAATTATCTTTTTTCCCATTCAATAGTCTTCGTATCTGTTACAGTTTAGAATATAGTAATGGTACCACATGATAAAAGAAACGGCATGTGTATACGACCATGTATTGTTAGCATTTTGAATATCCATATCATCCAAACGATTTTTAGAAGCAAAAAAAATCATTTGCATATAGTGAGGTGAGGTATCATCAGACCCATATCCCTATTCAATTTAAGGGATTCTGCAATGGGTTTGAGTCGATTTTTTTCATCCTCATGCACAAGTAGAAAGGTACTTTCTCTCCCGGCAAACCTTTTTTTTTCTATATACGTGAAAAAGTGGTCTATGACATTCACTTAGGTCACCATTCATCAATATATCTATTCCTCCAATGCGAACAACTATGGACGATATCCGAAAAATTAACTCCCACGCGCCTCAAACGTATGACCTTCCTATTACAAAACAACGTGGACCACAGGATAACAGATTGATGCCAATAATTCATACCCATTGAGGAATACAAAAAACATTTCGAAAAAATTATCTTTTTAGCTTTCAGTTTCTCTGTGCATCATCTACACATTTTTGTAAAGAGTTAATTTTGAACTTCATTGCTATTTTCGTTTTTTTGGAAATTTTCCATAAATTTTTGTATTAGGATGAAGAAGTGACAGCCAAGAAGCTTCTTTCCCAAAAACTAATCTCTCCTAAAAATACTATTCGAAGTTGGTTTGCGGTGATTTTAGCCTCGAAGATGACCCCGAAGTGGTCGACCTAAAGAAACTCAGGATGAAGATTTGAGGAACCTGGAGGAAACACATCCATCACAAACGCTGCGTGGAAGGGCAGACGAACTGGTTGTCAGCTCCCATGCGGTTTTTTGATGGTTGGAAACGTATTGGAGGGGTCAAAAAATTGAAACGTACCGTAAATTGCGTCCGCAGCAGCTAGCACCGGTCAACAGAATAGGTTCCATCCTGCTCCACGACAACGCCCGATCGCACGTTTCACAAATTACCGTCCGAGAGGCATACGAATTGGGCTACTTCACCCACCTTACTCCGCAGACTTTACGCCAACCTACTACTATATTTTCTTCGGCAACTTTCTCATCGGTGTAACCTTCACCAATCAGGACCAGGCAAAAACGCCCTTCGTCGAGTTCATCGAATCCCGAGTACACAATTTTTATGCTGACAAAATGAATCGACTTGTGTTACGTTGGCAAAAGTGCGTTGATTCAAATAGAGCTCATTTCAATTATTTCGAGTTGTCACTGAGATATTACAGTTTAAAGTAGACTCATGAAAACAAACAAAACTTTTGATTTGGGATGTGAAATAAAGTAGATTTTGTAATAATAATTTTAAATTTTGTTTACAGAAATGGAAGCAGCGCAGAACTCGATTTTTTTACGGACTTGAGCAGATTGTCTCTGTATAGTTTCCCTTATTTCACGGAAAAGTACTTATCGCAAACTTATATTGACTCGAAGACTAACCTGAAGGAACTAATTTTCAATGTGAGTTCTGATTGATTGATTGATAGTTCAAACAGAACACAATTTGATATCAGTTGAAAACTCATACATACTTTGAAATGTTTCACAAATGAAAGAATAACTGTATCCTGATCTGTTTTGAGATTTTTTTTCTGTAAGTTGGTCATCCAATAGTTTCAATTCTGAATTCTAAATTAAATAAGGTTATATAGGTACGTGAAATTTTCAACTTGACATTAGACATTCAACAGTTTTGATTTTCGAACAATTTCATCTAGGCTTTATTTAGAGAATTTCAAAGTGAAGTTCGAAACTTAAAAAAAAAAGTTGTTTGAAGATTTGAATGGTAATCTGTCCTACAATTTTTTTTATCTCTATGACAGTTCAGATTCAAAAATATAAAATTTTCTCTATATTTCTGCAAGATCTGGTGATTGATATTTACTCCTGAATTGACTTTGGTACACTTCAGTTGAGTATTGGCAGCATTACCAATTACTTGTGCTGATTTAGAATGAGCGTTTAGAAAATTTAAACCTGAGCAATCTGCTGAGGTTTACTATATCGTTAAAGTATGCAAAGAATACTTTATGNGATAAAATTGTAGTAAATTATTTTGTTGAATTTCAAAGCAATTAGACCGTGAAAGCTCGCAGGGTAGCAACATCGCCCCGACTTCTCATGGATAGCATATTTCATATTTCAATTAACCTTTGCGAAAAATTAAACCTTTTTTTCGAATCACCCCCATCTATTGATGAAAACCGTATGGAAATGCGTTAGGTAGTATTTGAGTATTGATATATAGATGGGATGGAAGACATGTATTGATTGATGTTCAATGGCGATGTATTTTTTCAACGACATTGCAGACGTAAAGCATTAGAGGCATGCTATTTATTTTAAAATTTATCCAGGTCCAATCCATGATATTGAGCTGGTTGAAAATTATTTTTGATCCTGTGGTTTTCATATATATACGTGTGGATTATCGGAGTGGCTCATTGACCTGTAATTTGGTCCACAGATTATAGAAAACAAATTTTTTCAGAGTGATATTTCAGATTGGGACGATTGGACAAACCACATGAAACACATTTATCACCTTTTATCTGTAGTTATTCAAAATAGGTGATTTTACGAAAAGGTGATTTTTTTTTGTGAAGAGTTGATGATGAACGATGAAGATTTTGACTTCAAGAATTGAATAATTGTGATGATCTTCATAAGGTATTCTCTCAAGACTTAACAGGCTCAGGTTGTGTTTTACCTGAAATATTCAAAATCAGTCCAGTTTCGAAGAAGGAAATATTATGAATGACGGTCTGTCAATTTTTTTATATCGATATGTTTCAGTTATGATATTTTAATGTTAGGTTAGGTTGGGTCCAAACTGAGTGTGTCTATTCGACCCTCCATCGCAACCCGCAAGGGTTTATTGTGGCTCACACATATTTGAACTCAACCAAATAAACGCAGCTTCTTAACGAAACCGATAAGTTTGTATGGTGAGTGGTCTTTTAGGTCAGATTGTGAGAGTACGACTCTGCCGAACTCTTAAAACCTGATTCGGTCCCCAAGGGGCAGGCATTAAGTATGTGCTCTGCTGTTTCATCATTTACTAAACAGAGGTGCCACACACTGTCTTCCGAATCCCTGCATATGATGATTCAAATGGCAGTGACCTGTAAAAAGGCCTGTTAGACATCGTAGCTCATTCCTACTGTTGTCTAACAACTGTTTGGTATCAAGCTTCAAAGGGTAAATGAACACCTTGGAGTAAGCCAATCCTGCAAGATTCTGCCAGAATTTCATAAATCTTCTTGCCCTCCAGGTGTTCAATCTTCGTTTGGCAAAGCCTGAAGAGATGTTAATAACAGGTTCTAGTCCGATGAAGCTGCTTGCAACACCCTCCTTTGCAAGGGAGTCAAAGCCGCATTGTCTCCCAGGTCAGTATGGCCGGGAATCCAGACCAGAGACAATCTGTTACGTCGTTTTTGGCAATTTGCTACCAATTTAGACGTTGCTTGGTAGGAGTCAAGAGCTTTCAACGCCGCTTGACTGTCCGATAATACTTTTATTGACTTGTGTATGAGTTGGATTCTCTCAATCTCTCCGCACACAATTCAATAGCGTAAATTTCCGCTTAAATACAGTCCCATAGGTTCGTAGACAGGTTGATATCTCTGTCCTGGGTCTGCGACTGAAAGCACCTGTACCGGAACCGGAAGGTGTTTTTGATCCATCTGTGAACCAACAACTATCTGCTCTTAATACATTTCAACGTAAACTTATAATATACCAAAATACATGCAAAACATGCACAATGGTAACATTGAACCTGAATATTGAACAAATCACTTCAAAATTAAAAATGTATCTAGATATCCTCGCATGTGGATTTTCCTTCTACATGATAATTCATTGCTGCAAGATATTTCAACACGCAATAAACATATTTCAATTCATTTTCCAGCATTCTACGGCAGTTTGTACCAGAAGTTTTTCATATATTGCGACAAAGTTTCACAATATCATTCCCCGTAATTTGAAAGGGTTTACATTGAAAAATTTTGAAGAGATACGGAATGGTATGCGATACACTTGCACCAGGAAAATGATATCCTGGAAAAATTCTCTAATAACGTCGTTAAGGATGGGAACTTTTGCAAAAGATATAAANGCAAAATTCAGTCATGATATGCTGAAGCTGAAGATTTATGGACTGAGTGATCGCCTATCAAATCTTTTCATCTCCTACCTCAAAGGAAAAACTCTTCAATTGTCATATCGTGGAAAGAACTCACATACGTTTTACCATAATCTGGTGTGTCACAAGGTTGAACTGGGGGCCACTTCTCTTGTCAAAATTCATTGATGATATTTCAGATATTTTGGAATCCACCTGTCTTTTATGAATGTCGATGATTTCAAAATGTTCTCCAGGGTTGACAACATTGATGATTATTTATCAGTACTATAAAATGATATTGTTGATATATTCAATTGGTCTGTCAGAGCTTTTCATTATCTTGCAGTAAAAAAATAATCCAGAACTATTCATATATTATATCAATGGTTGTTTATTTTTTCATAAACTACAACTCACGATTTGATCTCCACAAACTTTATTTGACAAATAGATCACGACATGTTTCGCTAACACAGTAACAGTGATTTGAATACTGCAAGTTGCTTCCCACGCTAATATTCATATACCACAGTTAACCACAATTGGGACTACCTCATCAACCTAAACCTCTACAATTCTCATATACCTGAGGTATCTCTTCAATTAGGATTACCTGAATCATATTATCTGACTTCTACATCAATAATAATACATCCACGGTTTTTTTAAGGAAACAAGTTCAATAATGGTGATCTATTCAAATCTAGTTGGTCGTTCATTAGAATGTTTGAATTTGTAAGTTCATTTATTTCCATTGCTTCCAAATAATTCAATTTGAAACCTTCATTTTCTATATGTAAAATTTCGAAATCTCCATTAAAGATATGATTTTCTTGTTCTGCCAGTTTGACCAATTTACACCTTAAGACACGTTCCACACTTCAATTTATATACTGCTGATTTCTCGAATTTGGATGTTTTGTCTTTGTTATTTTCAACTAACTTTTCCAATGTATTACTTGTTCTATATGCAATTTTAATATCTCGTTCTCTCAAAAATGAAGCAACTTTTTCCGTTGTTTGTCCATACTACGTTAAAGCTCTATAATGTCGATTTTGATTATCCAACTTATCAATAGGAAAACGTCTCTTAAAATACCGAAGAAGTATAATTATTGGTGTAGAAGTGAGGTTATATGCTTCAGGTAATTATAATTGAAGAGGTAGGTACCTCAGGCATATGGGAATTGTAGAGGTTTAGATAATTTGATGGAGGTAGTCCCAATTGTAGTTACCTGTGGTATATAAATAAGAGCGTAAAAAGCCACTTGTAGTATTTAAATCACTGTTGAAGAAGCTAATGTGTAAGCGAAACATGTCGCGATATATTTTTCAAATAAAGTTTGTAGAGATCAAATTGTGAGTCGTAGTTTATAGTTTCATAAACTGCATCAAGTAACGGCCAAATCAATCAGAAAAAAAATGGTTGTTCACTTCACAGAACAGATCAAATAATATATTTGGGGGTAACGTTTCAAAATAATCTTGAATTTGATAGTCATATTGATTACATTACTAAACTAGCTGAAGAATTATCTGGTTTCATAAAAAATAAACACAGATTTTGATAAAGTTGAGTGTATATATCTGATGTATTTGTACGAATCCATTTGGAATAATTCCACAGAATCCAAGATACATGTTATCAAAATTGTACAAAATATTTCTGTCAAATATTTGTATTAAAAAAAATACCACGAAAATCTTGAGTTATCGTCAAATAATCCTATAAGAAAAGAATAGGATATGATAAAACTGGAACAGATGGGACAGAGTAATCTAATCCCTTTGCTGCTTAGGTTAGGTTAGGTCCAAAGTGAGTGGGTCTATTTGACCCTCCACACCCCCCTTTGCTGCTTACTTTCTGTCGTGACTGGACANAGTGTGTTGTTTTCAGCAAAGCATTATATTGGATTTTTGTTTTTTTTCAATAAATCGTTGATATACAATAAAAAGAGGATTGGAGGCAATATAAATCCCTGGAGAACACTAACGCTGATGGTGAAAGTATTCGAGAGATATCCATCGACGGCCAATCGCAGGAAACGTTCTTTTAGAAAGCTGAAGAGACATATACATAAATGATCCGACCAGCCATAGCTTCGAAGTTTAGCCAGCAAACTTTCATGCCACATACGGTCAAATGCCTTAGAAATATCAAGCGCAACAGCTCTCCATGTTTCTCGATTGTGTTATTCCAAATATGGGTGACATACGATAGAAGGTCGCCTGGTGATCTATGTTATTCATGTCATACATCAGAGAACATAAACCAAATGAGAAAAATATTTTCCTAACCAACTTATTTCAGAGTGACTCAATCAATTTTGTTGCTGGGCAGAAA